TCAAATTGATTAGAGAGCCAAGTCTAGAACACACATCTCCCTAATTCTGAATTCTAGTTCTTTTCATTAAACCAGGTTGTTTCTATAATATCAAGAACACGTATTCCAAAACAAAAAATTACATCTCCTTATTACTAATTTGATGCGCTACTTCCAACAGTGAAAATTCACATTCTTTAGAAATGGAGAGCTGAAGGTACATGGAAATTTTCAATGATTGCTTCCAGTATAAATAAATTTTTTAAGTATATTTACCTATTAACTGAGCTTGACTACTTATACTAATTGTCAAAATTGTTCAAATGAAAAAGTCAATTCCTGTATTTTTCATCTTTATTATATCACCTTTATCAAACACACATCAGAAAGCATAACAACAGTGCATCTTAGGGTAAGTCAGTTTACAGCAAAACTGAACAAGGCAATTGTGTTTACAGAAAAAGTTCTCAGCAAAAACTATATACAATACAGTCAACTGTTAATGCAATGTTCATACTTTTTAGGTATTTCGGAAAGTGGAATATGAAAGTTCTTTGCTATTCAGCAAGAAAAAAAAAGTTGAAAAGGCTTGAATGGGAATCAGAAATTTCGGGATTTGAGAAAGGGTCTTCTTATTACTTACTGACACACATTTACATTTAGTGTCCCACTTAAGTTATTTAAAATGAAAATCCACACAAACAATAGGACATCACCAAGAGCAAAGAACTCGAGTGCCAAGAAATGCCAAGACCTGTATGTTATTGCAACGACTGGTAGAAATGCCACAGACAGCGATTCACTGTGTACTGTAGGGTTCGTGGACTGTGAGGTGAGGGTAACCCACAGGAGAGAACACTCCTTACAACTGGCTGTGGTTTAAACAAGCTTTCACATTTTCCCTCACCATGCCTTCTTGTAAAAACACAGCAATTACATATTATTGAGGGAAAATAGTTCTAATAGTCACAACCAACTCCAGTGCTGATATAAGAAGCCATAAACTGCTAGAATGTATTGATTATAACTGGATTTCTAAGAGTGGTCAAAAGGTAGCAAAGATGGAGCCCTTTTGGGGGGCAGGGGGAAAGAATCTAACTACCTCAGCTTTGACAATGTTAAGAGGATAGAAAGGAATGTTAAATTATTTAAAATTTCTCAAAATAGGTATTAAGAATAAACAAGGAGATCCTGCAGGAAAGGATAAAATAGCTTTACATTCTGAAAAGTAAATATTTTCCAGAGTTGAAGTTCTACGTGTTCTGGTTATGATAAACAAACATTAAGGTGCTATCATTTTGTAGCTAGTGCACACTACTGCCACCTACTGTACCCAACGTGCACAGGGAAATATGGAGGTGGCTAATCCTGTCTCTCTGATCTTAGTCTGCATGAGTGGTAATGTACAGCAAATGAAGTGCACAAAAGCCGGAGCTCATATTTTTATTTTAAAAAATTAGGCCAAATTGTATAATGGCATTTTACTTGATTTCATAAACTTTTATAGTAAGGTTCTAGGAGATCACTAAGGAGGGGTGTGCAGGAAGGCACTGTTTCTATGCTATAGGTACTAAATCTTAATTTTAAAAATATCATTTTTAGATTATAAACATATGAAGGATGACTAATAGTAATAAGAAAGGAAGCCATTTTTCTTTTTGTATTTGTACTACTTATCTTTCTAGTCTTTATTTTTTAAGTTTGGCAGACATCTGAAAACCAATGCTAATAAAATAATGCAGCTATGATTCAAATAACCGAAGAGGTTTTGAGTCCACAGTTATATGCGTAATTTAGGATACCTGAATTCATTTGCTTTTACACACTCATTGTTCCTGATATCACTGATATCAGTAAAGGAAGACAATCTAGACAGGGTGGCAACTTACTGGGGCTAAAAGTAAATCCAAATCCAAATCATTCTCTTGCCAAATTATGAACTTATGGTAGCAGCTCTGACCTTCATCCCTAACTCCCGCCCCGCCCCCCCAAAGCACAGTGGGGATGGGGTGGGGGGACAACCAAGCAAACAAAAACTAGCAATTCCAGTTTGCTTTTTCATAATGTGGCTTATTTTCATTAAATAAAGTAGTATAACAAAATGAGCTCTCTTCTGCACAACAAGGATTAATTGTTCCATTAGGCAAATAAGAGAGGCTATTTCTCTTTCCCTCATAGCCTTCGAAAGAGCCATCATTTTTCCTCAGATTACTCAGCCGCTCTGATGAGACAGAACTCGGGGAAATCACTCAGTAAGTCCCCATGAATTACAGCCCGTCGGGGGCCACACATGTAGCTGATATCATTATGGTCACACTCTGGAAAGCACAAAGAAAGCAATTTCAAATATTAATCCTCAAAAGCAGTACAGGGAATAGTAACAAAGTGCTGAGCTGAATGAAAATGAACAGAAACGTCCCATGAGGAGAACACAGGTTGTATAAACTACTCTATATACTTTATATGCTGCAGGTCATTTAATCACCACTCATAAAATACAAAGTTTCCTTAAACCTCCCTGGTTTCTAGATATTTCTTTTACGGCCCATTTTCTTCTATAAAATTACAATAAAAATAGTTAAAATTGTTCACTTTCTTCTTAAATATCCATAGTACTTTTCAACTATATGCCCCTGTGTAAACCTACCAGTCACTATACAATTTTTAAAATAGTGAAAAACAATGTGGGGCTAGACTAGGCTGATAACATGATATATTCTGTGATGTCAGGTGGAGCGGAAGCTAAGCCAGAGCAAAGCAGAATAAACCCTCTAAACTCCGAGACGCTACAAAACAAAGATACCCATGGTCCTCTGTGACTAAGGAACTATTACTTATGTTCCACAGAAGGCCCAGATGAGTTCCATATCATGGATTCTAAACAATTTTGTGTTCAATGAGAAAGCTAGGAAGTAATACGGACTTAAAGATTACCATCTCAAAGATATATTAAAATGGAAATATTTTTAGCTAATTGTGACCAAGAGCTGATCTATGGGTGATCCTATCTGAGGAAATAAACTATATCAGAGAGTGAGTGAGACAGTGAGTGAGAGAGAGAGAGAAAGATTTGAAGGAACCTGACATTAAAAAATGGAACTATCCCCCCGCCCAAAAGGAACTCTTTCCAAGGAAGAATGAAGATTCTGCTAGGTAACTGACTATCATATATAATATTGGACAAAAATAAAATGGAAACGGTTTCTTTCACACACACCTGCAAACTGTGAACCCAGAAGGTGGACTTTTACACTGCCTGTGTCAATTTACCCCAGGGCAAGGCCGAGGTATGAGTAGTTACCACCATTTGGGGAGCTTTCACAAAATGAGTTTTATTATTTTCCAGGAAACAGAAGGCACTTGCTTACATCTTTGATTATCTACATATTCACCAGAAAAAAGTCCTGATGGGGTGCCACCTGTACTCCGATCTGAACACAGCCACGCAGCATGCACCCTTGTGTTAGTCTACGTAACACACTCGGCGGCTGGGGTCTTCCTCCACCCAGAACTATGCTGTTGGGATTAAGTTCAGATATTATGGTGCTGACATTCAAGAAATTCATTCTAAAAAATGTCATGCTGCCAAGTATAGCTGATGGTAGGAATGAGGTTGGCTAGGCCCAATGGGCTCAAACACAGGACCGATTGTGCAGATGTCCCAGGACCGGGCAGTGTTTTGTTCTGTTCTACATGGGAGCAGTTATGGGTCAGAACCAACTTGTTACCGCCTAACAGTACGGCTAGTTCATTTAAGTAAGCATGTCAGACCCAAGAAGAAAATTATGCTAAAACGTTGGAAAGTCATTGCATTTGATGAATAAGCTCAAGTGAACGATAAACTCAACACTCTGTGGTGAGTGCTGTCACTATGCCTTACTCTGATCCCAGAAGGACAACCGATGTGCTTACCAGGGTAAATAACTTTCTGGGAGAGCTAGTGTGGCAAGACCAAAACCAATTTTATGCCCATCATTTCCCTTCAACTTCCCTTACCTGGCACCACTGTTCCTGGCTCATTCTTCTATGAGCACACATTTGCTCAACAGTTAAAATAGAAGTCAGATGAATCTAGAAAGCAAGTAACTAAAATTCAGTGCTACTGTTTTGCTTTTTTCTTCTGCCCTAAAGGTTACTTTACCACATCTCTGTACTCTAGTGGCTAGAGTGCCAGTAGGAAGGCAATCCCTGTCTCACTGAGAACACAGGAGGATGGGTAAAATTGTTTCCAAGGTTTTCATCCTACAATAATCACTCATCATTCTGGCTCACTCACAAGAAAGGAGCGTTTCTAAAAAGAATTGCTCATATTGACTGCCACAAACAAGGAAGACACACCAAGGGTAGTAAATGCAGCGCTCCTATTGCAGAAGGGTCTCTCCTTTTCATTCCTCTTTGCAATGCAACCAGGAATTCCTTTAGTGCTGTCTTTTACTATAGTGCCCAGACTTAACTCTACTTATGCTTCTCCTCCAGATAGAGGTTGACGTTTTCAAAGTTGCTATCTAGCCACCTTCGCTTCAAATGTGTTTCAAAGTCCCCAGATTCCCTAACATCACTTTGTCTACCTTTTCTAGAATACAGTGTGCCACAGTGAGCCCCTGGCTCAGCAACACATTAAAGAAGAAAATGGGAAGAAGAAAGGAAACACAGGTATTAATTTAGGGAAAGAAAAACTACCTGAGATAAATATTTTACCCAAAGAGTTAGAGTGAACTTTCACCTCTTTACCCTGCCCCTCAAAAAACACTCTCTCAAGTTTTCAACCATTTCAAGAGACTGCAATCTCTGCCTGCGTAACATTTCACCCTAAAAGAATCACGAAAATGGCATAATTTGATAATTTTTGGCTCAGGTTTAAGAAAGAGATTAAGATAAAACTTCTGATTTTATTAGAGAGGGGGAATCTGCAAGGATCATCTTTGGTAACTGGGCTATAAAATGACCTACATTAAATTATACGAGGCATCTTTTTTCCAATCTGTAGCTCTGATATAAAATAATCACTTCGATGTCCAGTTAACACCTTCTGCAATAAAATTCTACACATATATTTATGAATACATAAGCAATAAGATGATCAAAGAATGCTGTGGAATTCACCAGCAAGATGTTAGCAGCATATTGTATCAGTAAGCTTAGAGGCATACCTGAAGTTATTGGTAAAATTTTTCCTCTTTTTTGGGTGGTAATGGTGGCGAGAGGATGTGAAAGGTACATATGCTAACCTAGAGGGCAAGAAACGAATGCTAGCCACGCAGGAGACTCTGCGTTGAGACAGAACAGAATTGCCACCTAAGGGTTCCCACAAGGCTGTAAATCTTTACAGGAGCAGACTGCCACATCTTTTCCCCATACAGTAGCTGGTGGGTTTGAACTGCTCACCTTTTGGTGAGCAGCTGAGTACTTAAATTGTGCCACCAAGGACGCCCTAAACCCAGACTAGGATTCATTTGAATTCTGTGTTCATATGTAGGATCTGGTGTTTCTAATCATCATGGAAGTTGCCTCCCATACAAACATATGTTTTAGGAAAGCTTAAGTTTCCACAAAAACTGGGTATATCCTCTCCCTGTAAATTTTTATCTGAAAACAAACCAACCCACCAACCTCTGAAAAGGCTAGAATGAAACAAATCTTCACAGGGCACACAATGGAAGCCTGCTGCATACTACTACTCACCCACAGGAACCATGCGATTGTCGGCGGTTTGTAAATAGACGTTCTTAAACCTAAGTTGGCTTTATGACAATATTAAGGGAGAGTCCTGAATAGTTTGACAGCTGAAAGTAATGGAAATAAAACGCAAATTCTAAAATGTAAAATCTAACTGTCCATTCAGTAACCCACACAGCACACAAAAAGGAAAGAAACAGGAAAACATTCATAATCTTTATATAAGTTATCTTTTGTATTTTTGTTTTTATTGTATGTCTAGGGTTTTATGATGGAAAGCTAATTTTTAGACTCTAAGGCAAACTACCATAAAGGGACAGGAATCTGTAATTACAATGATTTAGACCTGGGACTCATCTCTGAGTCCTCTGCTCAGGAAAGCATTAACCTGCTAGGGGCCTCAAGACTCCCTTAGGTTCCCCCCCCTTCCTTTCGACTTCCACTTCCTAACTGTCCTTGGGGTCAAAGGTCAGACTAATTGGGATATTGTTCGTCTCACTTCTATTTCCTGTAAGGATAAGGAGGAGAAAATGAGACCATATACCAAGAACTCTTCTGAGGTTCAGAGACGATTCAGTATTAAAAAAACAGGGACCAGAGTAGATGAAAGGATGGCACCAGTTACCCGAAGGGAACCTTGTCTGTTTCTAAAGATTCACTTTCAGTTTCAATTCAACCAGCTACCATCTAAACTCCTGTTTTTCTCAGCCTCGAAGAAATGAACTATTTTGTCATGTATGGTATAGCAGAAAGACCATCTCTCAAAAAGTACAGGTATGAAACAGGTAGGGAAAGGATAAGTACAGACTGTCTTATCTTACAAAACTCACACGATCAGGTACGTAGGCTCCAATGTTCTCTAACCTCTCACACCAACACACACACTCAAGCATACATCCTAGACATAAAAATTGTGCAAGATCAAGCATCAGCTTTCTATTTTAAAAGCTGTAATAATAATTTAAAAAAAGGTAGATAGGCTCACTGCAGTTTCTTTAAAGGAATAGTCAGGACTATAGTACTCCTTTTAAAAATTTCACAACTCAGTGTTAAGAACCATAGGTAATTGCTGTTTGACAATTACTTAGCATTACAGAGCAAATCCAGTGCCAGCCATGGACCAGCGATAAGAACCATCAGACAACATAAAGGAATTATCTCTTAAGTGATGTCACCAGCCCTAACAAATCCATTAGTACTATTCATTATGACATGATATTAGTCACCCTTGCTTCAGGATCACAGGAAATAATATCATTTTAGGTTACATATTGAAGAGCAGCACCTGCCCTACTGCACAATAAAGGCTGTCCACGGGGGTGCTCTAAGACCCTCAAAGTATAGCCGAGTATAGTCTTGTCCTCCTCAGGGTCGAAGGTCTGCAATGCAGTCACTGCCCGGGGAATGACAGCACATCAGTAGGATTACATAAGTGTACAAAGTACCCTTATAAATGGTCAGGGGTACTCCTGCATTCAGATGTGGAATACAATAACTCAGGAAATGGAAGAGGAGAAACAGGAAACTGTCCTCCGGTTACTGATTAAAGCAAGGTTTGATACAGATATCCCCTCTTGTAGGCACTCAGTGGGTAGAATGTAGCCACAACAAACTTCCCATCAAACATCCTTCCTGTAAGCAATTTCTGAGCAGCTTTGGAATCACCAGCATTTGCATACTCGACAAAGACCTATAAAAGAAAAGAGAGACATCCCATGTTCAACAAGGCCGTTGTGACTAGCGATTCTCCAAGTGTAATGTGGACACAGCACATAAGGGTCTAGCTAGAATGCAAACTCTGTTTCAAAATGAGGCCTGGGCTGCTGGAATTCTAAAAAAACTCCAGGTGACACCTGCGATCCAGGAACTTGCTTACTGATGGCCTAGGGACTACATGTTTGGGCGTCAAGGTTTAGCATACCCATTTTTGTTGAATGAATCCCAACTCATAGAGGCTCTGAACGGCCAGAGTAGAATGTCCCAAGTGGTGTCTGTCCAAGGCTGAAAATCTTCACAGGAGCAGATTCCCCCATTTCGCTCCCACCAAAAGGGCTGCTGGGTTTGAACTTTAGGCTTACTGCTTAGCAGCTGAGCACTTTAACATTGTTGTATGCCAAGTTCCTAGATCATAGCAGAGGCTCAGTAAATACGGGTTGAGTGAATAGCATTAATAAAGTTGGGGGTATGCTAATGATGCTGATTAAGGAAAATATTATTACTGGGTTGGCAATGCATTTTCAATGGCTAGAGTGAAATTTCCCCATTTTTTTTCAGTTGCCAGAATAGAATATTTTTCTTTTTTCTTTTTTTTTTAAGGAGTTTTGATTTTATTCACAAAATTTGTAGAAACATTTTGATTTTTATAACATTGTGATTTTACAACATTTTACAAGTAGAAAGTACCAGGCTGTTCAGTAAAATCAGTTTTTTGTTTTTTTAACATTTTATTAGGGGCTCATACAACTGTTATCCCAATCCATACACACATCAATTGCGTAAAGTGCATTTATACATCGTTTCTCAAAACATTTTCTCTCCATTTAAACCCCCGACATTAGGTCCTCATTTTTCCCCTCCCTCCCCGCTCCCCCCTCCCGCATGAGCCCTTGATAGTTTATAAATGGGTATTTTGTCATATCTTGCCCTGTCCGACTTCTCCCTTCATCCACTTTTCGGTTGTCTGTCCCCCAGGGAGGAAGTCACACACAGTTCCATGTAATCGGTTCCCTCTTTCCTACCCATTCTCCCTTTACCCTCCCTGTTTTGCCACTCACACCACTGGTCCTATAGGGCTCATCCGTCCTGGATTCCCTGTATTTTCAGTTCCTATCTGTACCAGTGTACCTCCTCTGGTCTAGCCAGTCTTGCAAGATAGAATTCGAGTCATGGTAGTGGAAGCGGGGAGGAAACCTTTAGGAACTAGAGGAAAGTTGTATTTCTCATCATTGTTACATCGCACCCTGACTGGCTCATCTCCTCCCCGAGACCCCTCTGCAAGGGGATCTCCAGTGGCCTACTAATGGGCTTTGGATCTCCACTCCGCACTCCCCCCATCATTCACTATGGTAAGATTTTTTGTTCTGATGATGCCTTACACCTGATCCCTTCGACACCTCGTGGTTGCATAGGCTGGTGTGCTTCTCCCATGTGGGCTTTGTTGCTTCTGAGCTCGATGGCCGCTTGATTACCTTCAAGCCCTCAAGACCCCAGACGCTATACTTTTTGATAGCCGGGCACCATCAGCTTTCTTCACCACATTTGCTTATGCACCCATTTTAGAATATTTTTCTTAATAATAAATCATAAGATAAAGCAAAGGTGACTTTGCCCTCAGGAGCAAATTGGCAATCTCTATGAGTTGGAATTGAAGGCAATGAGCTTGGTTTGGTTTTTGGAAACATCTTTGCTAGTCTTAACTTACTGGGGCAGGTCAATGGTGCCATCTGGTGGGTAGAGAGGAGAGATGCAGCTAAACACCTTACAATAGAAGAAAGCTCCCACAATAAAATTCCATCAAAACCCATTGACAATGAGTCTATTCCAACTCAGAACGAACCAGTGTAGGGTGTCACAGGCAGAAAACGTTATAAGAGCTACCCAACCCAAAATGTCAACAGTGCTGAGGTTGAAAATCCCTGGGATAGAAAAGAAACAATATTCTGTTTCCCAAAATAGGAAAACACTTTCTCTTTACATTCATGATATATAATTTAGAATCACAAAGTCCTAAAGGAAACAGAATCATCACAGATTAGTTACAGAGAGGGAGGTGAGCCCCAGTTTCAGTCTGCTCAGTTTCCTCACCCTGACGGTTCCACCAGAATCAAACCTGACTGGTTTGCTATCTCTACTGAACTAGAGCAACATTTTCTCTACCTACATGGAACTCAACATATGATTTTAGTTGGTGGCACTGTTTTACAATGCTCAAAGTACATTTATATTTTTTAAAAAAAAGAAACTTTAATGACAACTGCATATATTTTACAGCTTTTGAGGGCAAGTGAAATACAAAATATACCCCAAAAATAATCTATAATGCAAAATTCACAACTTCTAACAGCATGTTTAGATATGCTTTCTAGAGAACTGAAACATTTCCCACAGAATTTCAACATTCTCTGAATGACAGTCCAGTTACCAAAGCATTCACTTACTTGTCCTCTTCCAGGATTTTCCTTTGGAACAAGCAGAGAGACCACCGGTCCATATTTTTGACACTCTTCTTTTACATCTTCTACAACATCTGATTATTAAAATACATAACAGTAACTGCTTAGATATAATGCAAAAGCAATTATGATCGAAAGGTTAAGTCAGCAAAGAATCCAGAAACACAAGTAATGAAGTCATTTTCTCTACCTCCTAAAATGACGTTTTGTTAAAAGTCATAGAAATTCAATGTGTTTGATAAGATTTTAAATGTTAATTTTATTTTTTTGAACAGGTAACACGAATAATTCAAAATTCAAAGACAAAGTATCCCACCTCTACATCCACCTGCCATTCCATTCTCTCTCTAAAGGCAACATGACCTTACCGGTTTCCTGCTCTCCTCCTATAAATATCACAGTAAAACTTGCGGGACAAAGGCTCAAGAGGGATGAAGTCAGAGGACACACTGAAAGATACCCCACCAACATGACGGACAGGACAGTAGTGAGCCTGCACCTTGTCAAAGGCAGAAAACAAGGCAATGTCATCAGGTCTGCCGCTCACAGGTTTCAGGGTATACGCTTCTATAAGCAAAGGTAATCTGATAAACCAGGGTGGGGAACGTTGAGCCTGTGGGCCAGAGAATACAGGCCATGAAGTCATCAGTACTAGTCACCATCACACGCCTCATCGAGGAGAAGCCATTCCGGCAGTCCCAATCTCTAAATCAAATCCACTGCCATTGAGTTGATGACCTTAGAGGGGAGTTAATGAAACGTTTGCACAGCAGAGCTCCCAAATGATATAAATGTCCGTTGGCAGAAAAAAAAAAAAGGGCTCTCCACCCCGATATAAACCTTTGTACATAAATTTCAACCTTACCCTTTTCTTTCCTATGTATATCTAAGATTTTTTACATTATCACATAGAGAGTCTGTGGTATCGGTGAATTACTTGATATGCTCTTATAGTTACTGCCTTTGAAAATCCCACCAAACAACTTTTTTTTCTGGTGGGTCTTATTTAGAGAATGTAGGGAAGGAGGCTGATAAAATTGTATGCTTCTGCTGTGAGTTATTAACAGGGCTGTGATAAAAAAACTTGGAAATCTAATGAAGGGATTGGTCAATCTTGTCATCCTGCTGGACATAAAACGAGCCACCTCAGAAGCATGAACGGGGACGGACTCTCACTATCACTAAGAAAGAAGAGCCAGCAGTAAGTACTGGTGTCAATCCTGATGCCGCACTCTTCATGTAGTGCGGCTTCTTGGATTACTTGCTGAACATACAGCCTGAAGAAGTCAGGCGAAAGGAAAGAAGCGTGATCCCGCCTTTCCTGATTTTAACCAAGCAGTACCCCTTCTTCTGTAGGAGTGGCTGGGTCTATGTATGAGTTGTACAGGAGCACAATTCAATGTCCTAGAAATTCCATTCTTCAAAAAGTTCTCATTTGCTATGATTCAGAGTTCAATGTCTTGGTGTAATTAGCTTTGTCTATCATGTTTTAGTTTTCCACAAGGATAATGTAGTAATTTATTACTATACAATTGATTTTTTAAAAATAAAAACTAGTAACTTAGAGATAAAATGATTTAAATGTCTGTCGTTTTCATTTTTTCTTTTCATTGGTTTTGTTAAGGTGTCTTATTTTACTCATCTATAAAACACATGAGAAAACACCTATCTCTCGGGTAATTTGTCCTTTTGTTACTGACTAATCTGAGAGTATTACAGAGAACATACAAGTTAGTAAACACTCACCTTCATACTCCTCTTCATTCTCCAGATAATCCTCATCCAGCACATTCAGGAGTCTTAGCACGGGAGTAGGAAGCATCACCAGATCTTCAATATGAGGGGCTGTTAATATTCATCAGAACAAGGTTAAATGCAAATCTCCCGAAAGAAAAAGGCGAACTCTACACAAGGGACCTTAAGGACATAAGTCAGCTTTGATATGTAATTTGATTGCCAAATGATAAAAAATAAATAAACCAGCCCACCCACAAACACACTTACCAAAAGGAATGCTAAAGAATGGGCTGCATAATGCCAGCTCAGCAGAAATTCTTCTGCATGGGTCATCATGAAGCATGCTAGAACACAAAAATAAGTATCACTGCAAAGGAAATGAAAGTTTCACTGCCATTACTGTCAAAGCTTTTGAAAATGTAATCACTACAGAAAATAAAAATGTCTATTCATCATAATAGTAGTTACCTTAGCATGATTTGTTCCATTTTTCACCTACAAATACACGTTATTTATAAATAAATGGGTCAATGAATTAGGGCATATACTTATGAAATGCACCCATTCCTCACTTATCACAATGGTTAGATTTCAAAGATCAAGTTGTTAAGTGAAAACTGGTGTTACAAGAAAACAGAGGATGATTACATCATTATATAACTGTCAAACCACTGAGAAACATGTCCAGCCCAGCTGACAGATTACTTTAACCCTCACAGTCAGCGCTACCCCTGCTTCATACATCCCTGTTCATTACTGTCTGGCAGATGTCATCAATGAGCAAAATAGCCAGGTCACACACTAATTGTTAAATGAGAGGTGGATGTAATACCCTATTGTGATTTTAAATGCTTTTGATTATTAAATTCAACAAGGGAAAACAATCACACTCTATAATATTAACTGACAAAAAGCTAGTCATAGATTTAGGATGAGAGGATTTGTAGTAGAAGAGAAGGAAATAGTGGAATGATTTTTAAATCTAAGAGTAACTATATAACAAAATCAAAAAGCCTTGGGTAACATCTACAACAAAATTAGTTTTTAAGTATCTCTCATAAGATCTAATACACAAGCATCTAATGACAAATCATCAATAGCGGTAAGACACTGTATCTGCATCTAAGTGGGAGGACACAGAGCGAAGCAACCCTGGACTGGACAAACCAGAGAACTCTTCATGGAAAGTGCCCCCAGTCAATTTAAGAGAAGCATCTAAAACTACAAGGGTTTGTACACACTGGAGCAACAGAGGAATGCAAGGGGTCCACAAAGAGACTGGAGGAGTCTACACATTAGGAACTTTAGAAACTAACCAGCCAAAACTTCCTTCAAGGGAAAATTTCCACACCAAGAAGAAATTCTTGGGAACAGTATCAAAATTGAGCAGGATATGGTAAATAAAGATTTGAGAGGTGGGGGAAAGAGAAAGTACACATACACACACACAGGCAGGGGAGGGGGAAAGAGATCTCAAAACCAAAGTGTTATATTTGATAAACATTAAAGAAAAGGAAAAGGAGGGAGAACGCAGGATAATTTAAAAAATCGACATTCCTCCTACATATAACTACATACAAGAACTCAGGAAAAAGGCTTTCATATAAAAATGTCCAAAGTATAAAAGATCATAACAAAGTTATTTTACAAAATGTGGAAACCACAAAATAATAGATGTGGTAGGGAGAAATTTAATATGGCTCTTCTACCCAAGTCTCTGTAACTCCCACCAAATGATTGGGTGGGTCAATCCAAACAGGGTGTGTCTGACAATAATAATGGGAGCGGTCAGTTTTTGTTGCTACCCCTATGGCTCTGAGGATGAGTCATTTTTGAAGCAATAGAGGAGAGAAACCCGAAGGATCTTGGGAGAGCGCATTCAAGATCACGGTCTGAAGTGGTGGAGGCTGCCAGACCAGACGAACCATAGCACGGAGACTCAGAGGAGCTACACCAAGACTATGAGGTCCTTCTCTTCAGCTGGCCTGAAAACTAAGGAACTGTGGGTTACAGTGAGAGGCGGGCTGGATTCCCAGCGCGTGGAAAGCAAAGGCCAAGGGACCGTGTGGCTGAGAGACTAAGAACTGGAGAGTGGCTTGGCTGTAGAGGAGACAAGGGCCAGTACCCTTTCTGTTTGCTGATACGGACTTGGGGGTAACCTATTAATTTCCTTACTAAACCCCATTAATTGTGAGTATTGTCTGTGAGTTCTTTGTGGCTACTCTAAGGAATTATCAAACCCATTATAGATGTAGAGTGGCGTGGGAGGAACAGCTGTGTCAGGATAGGTATAGAAGCATGGACTAACCGCTGAAGACAAAGCGGGTGAATAAGCAAATGTGGTGAAGAAAGCTGATGGTGCCCGGCTATCAAAAGATATAGCGTCTGGGGTCTTAAAA